CACACTCCCATCACCTCTAAGCTTCCGGAAAGGGCTCCTGGTGCTGCGGCCAAACTGGCCCTGTGCCCTGGCGTTGAGATAGGTAGACAGGTGCAGAAGGAACACGCACGCTGCTGTCACCACCTCTACGAGCAGGGGCAACGCGTCTCAGAGGGGCAGGGGCACACTCGGCAGGGATGCTGGGACTCAGGGTGGTCTGCATCCCCCCACCGCCCTGAGGATGTGCAGCAGCACACCTGGGTCTGGTGCATCACCGACAGGGGCTGAGGCACGAGAATTTCCAGGGACGGTGTCCCACACGTGTTTCCATGAAATCAGAAACTGAGCCGGATGTCCGAGAAGCCACTGCCAGCCCGTGTGGGCCCAAGGAAGCCGCTCCATTAGCTTCCCAGCGAAGGCCCAGGACGGTTCCAACCCACGAAAGGTGAACCAATGGCACCCTCTGAACACACCGAGAGGTGAGAAACAATCAAAAGGTTTCATGTGACACCTTGATTAAGCTCATTACTTTGAAAGAAATGTTGTGACTTACATTTCCTAAACGCTACCCCCTCTGACCCTCTAACAAGAGAACTAAGCCTCACCCCCATCATGGAACACCTCCCTGTCTGGGGTCTTGCCACTCACTGCTCCCCCCCCCCCCCGCCTCGTAAGCAAACTCACTCATGGACTTGCAGCCCCTCCGAGACGACCTTGTCCCACTTGCTCATCTCAGAGGAAACCACAAGAGGCACAAGGCCCCCGATTAGGCCACCTACCGGGCTATGACCTGCGCCCCTGAGATGAGAAGCTAAGGCACCGAATGTTGACTTCACATATTCCCCTGGGCAACAGTAACCTTTCTCTCGTAACAATAGTTTGTGCCTAAAAATAGCACTATTCTGTACCTACAGCAACACCTCTATCTTACACCTCGCAGATTTAAAGTTAAAAATAAAAATTCACTAGATTCTTAAGACAACTAAATAGTTCTGTTCAATACTAATCAAATGAATTCAATTTTTAAAAAAACGTATTAAATAACTATAATGTACAAAGCATGGTAACAATGAAAAAAGGGATTGCCAAAAAGCATAGAATTATAATGTAAAAAAGTCAAACATGTATTTTCATTTTAGTTTTAACTTTTACGATAGGCAAGGTTACATAAACACATGTAACCACAGGAAAAAAGTAATTTTGATAAAAGGCTTCTTAACAATCACAACTCACGTCTGACGTGTGTTTACCATGAGGAGTGAGTCTCTCGGAGGTAAATACGTCGACCCATGGATTTGAACTTGCAGGGAGATCACGCACAGGGAGCAACGCGGGGCTGCCCTGCTCCTCCCGTGTCGGCCCCTGTGGGACGCGGCTGCACCAACGTCTGGAAAGCACAGCTCCGGGGGCGGCTAATGCCGTTACCGTTCTCAAGGCGTTTCCCCCTCTGTGGACGAGCCCGGCATTCACTGTCCTCCTGCCCACGCAGCCGGGGACAGCTGTGCTGACTCGGTTTGTCAGCAAGACTGGAGCAGGGGGAAGACTGCTGAGAAAGCCCTTGATTCTCTAAAAAAGGGACAGTCAGAGAGGTGGCAGTGTCCCTCTCCTTTTCTTTCTGATGATGATGCAGAAGCAATGCCTGAGGTTGCAGCCATCATCTTTCTATTAAAAGGGAACAAGCAAGGGACCAAAGCAAATTTGCCAATGATGGCAAAACAGAGAGAGAAAAGAGGCTTGAGTCCACGCTGGCTTCATTTGTCTGCTGAAACCACCGAGAGCTCCTTCCTTCGGACTTGCTAAAAAAGTCTCGTCTGTTTAAGCCACTGTTAGGTACTGTTACCTACGCAGCTAACTGTCAGGCATTGTTTCACCCACAGCTGAAAGGATTCCTGAGAAAGCTGTTCAGTAGTTTTCCTCGCAAAGCCAGTCTAAACTCCTTACTTAGTCTGGCCACTTCGAGTGGCCTGGACCCGTCCTGTCCTCCCAATGTGCCTGTCCTTTCTCACAGGGACCTAGCAACTTCCGTGTCCGGATCTTCCTAACACACCCCCTGCCCGTGCGTGTGCACGTGCCCTACGATGCACGGACGGAACCTCCACCTTTTTCTCACCCCCTCGCCACTGCCCTCGCCAGTCTCCAGCCTGTATCTCTGTACTTTCACAGCGTAAAAGTACCTGGGACACAGTGAGTGTTCAAACGACGACAGGGGAATAAATAAATAAGCGATCAGAGCTCTGCATTTCTCTAAGTCAGCACTCACATACACTAGGCTATTTTAGAAAATACTCTGACGAGCATTTTTTTGGTACTATTTCCTGCAGTTCTAGATTCACACAGATGTCAAAATTAGCCCTTGGACAAAAACCTGGGATTTGTTTATATTAATAAACAGTTCAGTAAAAGACACTGAGTTGACCTTTCTCTTCACTTTAAAGTATAAACACTAGTTACATGTCTCACAGTATTCACAATCCCTGCAGAAGCAGAGTGCTCTGTAATTACCAAGTTCCTCTCCCTCAAAAGGCTAAGTGAAAACGTCATAACATTTACCAAAAACAGGAACAAAACCAAGTAAGGCGTCATGTGTTAGAACAGGCGATGGAAACACGAGGGAAGCAATACAACGTAATTTAGACGGACATGAAGGTCCAGACAGCCTCCCGACTCCTGCGCTGAAAGCCCGAGTGGGACACTACGCGTGTGGAAGGCAGGCTCTTGGGGAACCGGAGTGGACTCATGCTGCCATGAAATACACTCAAGCCTGGAATTAACCTGAAGCCCACCTTTCCTCTAGGTTTCACTTGGTCTTAGAAGTTAGGAAGAAACTGCTGTAATCTGAAACATATGACTTCCTTTCATGTACTTTAAGCAATAAAGCTTTTAGAGTGTTGCTCCAAGGGACCAAATCAAATTTTCCTAAATAGGCCTAAACCCAAAACCCTCTTTCATAGGAAAAAGGATTAGAAAATTGTAACAGCTGAGCACGAACAGAGTGAATTCCACCTTTCTCACAATAGATTTCACATACATACAAATGGAACCGAAGTTTCACGGAACCCCCCCCCTCCCCGCCCCACCTTTGGCACAGCCAATGCTCTCTAACACTTTTCTTTTTTTTAAAAAAGCGCTAATTGATTTGCAACTTACCATCACCCATCAGCAGCCCTGTCAGGGAACAGAGTTTCAAAAACACTAACACTTAAGTCTTATCAAGACCTGTAGGCATTTTCCCCAGAAGACAATTTAATACTCACAACACCACACACCAAACGCTAAGTTTCTCTGAGAAAGCTACTCAGAAACCTGCTTGTTATTTCGATGTTGCCAATGAACCTGCCTCTGATGAGGTGACAGAACTGCGGAGGGATGTTGCCACTCCTCTTATTTCCGGCAAGGGAGGGGTGATAAAAAGGGTCAGACAGACACCTCCTGCTGTGCAGCACCCCTCCCCCCACCACCGCGAGGCCACGGTGTGTAGGCAAATCCCTCCTGTCCTCCCAGGAGAGCAATGCACCCCAGAGCTGCTCAAACTGGGGGAGAAAACAGTCCCCCTGGAGAGAGCAGGTGGGCAAAACTGAAGGTGGCCGACCACGCTGCCCTGGGTGGGAACACAGCCCCAGCAGACCGCCGCCCACTGACTGCCTCTGCAGGGCCCCAGCACTCCCCCCCCACCACTTACTACTGGAGGAAAAGGGAGCCTTGCTTTTCAAAAAGTGTTTTAAGAAAAATACAAGAATTTTGCACGACCCTCCTCCCCCCACAAAGTCTTAAATAAACTCCAATACACAACAGGAACCCGCTGCAGACAGAGCCCCACGCACTCACCCTTCTCACGTACCAGCCCCTTGGCTCCTGCCAGGAGTCCAGAACTCCCCAGAAAAGCAACAGCGCAGTAACAACCCGGCACACACTCAGTGACCCCCACCGAAGGCAACCAACGCTCACACTGCCCACTGCCGTGTGGGTTCTCTCCCAGAACCTGCGCTTGTCCCCAGCTCTCTGCATCTCCCCCTAGTCTGGACCTTCCTGAAGCTTCAGCACGGACACACCACAAGAACCTACCTAAAGCAACACTTCTCCACACACCTGCCCGACTCTGGTCCTACCACTGAGCTGACGGACTGTCAGAAATAAAGGAACACCCACCAAACTGGATGACCCTTCCTTCTCCCTGTCCACCTCACCTCTCACTGCAACACGGACGTCACCGCAGCATGGGACAAAGCACACCAAGCACACTCTCCCGACAGTCGCTCTAACAGAGAGTAGGATCCTAAGGAAGTGACTGAACTGTAAGTTTTATGTTACCATACAGCTACAAAGACACGTATTCACACAGCTAAAGTGAAATTATTCCTGAATGCTTTCCTCGCAGTGAGAAATTTTAGAAGTGCTCAGAGTCGCCATCTCTAGCAACGTAGAGGATGCAGTGACCTCCCTGTCCTGTCTGCAGTCTCCGTCTGGACAGACCCAGACGCAACCGAGGGGGCGTGGAGAGGGAGGACTCGGGGCGAAGATGGCCACACTGACCCCACGACGTGACACTTCGTGATGAAGGTGCATTGAGCCACCTTCTTCTTGAAGAAGCTGTCCTTTATGTTTTCAAACATGGGAGTTTTGTGAGAAGCCAAGACCTTCACAAAGGCGGTAATTAGATAATCCGTCACGCTGAATGGGAAAACGAGCCGCTCCCAGGAAAACCCGAACTGAACCTCGGCAGCGGAGCTCGCCCCTGGGGAGAGTGGTCTGGGGGGGGGAGGGGGGACACCAATGGGAACGGGGTGGGTTTCATAGGAAGCACAAGTTAAGAATCACTGGATCTCACGCTGAAAATAAACTTCTTTAAGCCTCTTCCTGTATGGGAATTCCTACTCCCCCAATCGTATTTAATTACTTAGGATAACATTTCCAATGATTTAAAAACTCAACTCAAGCTGTTCACCACTTTTGTTTTTTTTTGTATGATTAACGCATTGGCATTAACTTTTAGAATGATGTCAGGTAATAGAAAAAAAAGGTACCTTTTCCAGTTCTCTTGGTATTCGCATACAAGTGTACACTCTTTCTCTTCTTTCTGTATACTTGGCCTCATTGTGTTCCAGGAAGTACCCTCTTGTAAGTTCAGCACTGAGGAACCTCAACAATGAAAGCTCTACAGGAGAAGAAAACGACACAAAACAAAAGAACAGTATTTATCAAGGAACTTACATGCTAGCTCAGCCATAGGTAATACATTTCAGTAACAATGATGGATTAAAATAGAGTCATCTATAATTCTGTGCCCAAAGTTGAACTGTGCATAAATCGCTAGCAAACACTGTTGAGAAAACTGCTGCTCTGTGTGGTATAAACTGAAAACTGAACAGAAATACAGAAGGGACAATTACTAGGAGCTGGAATAGTTGGAAAAGTATTTTGCAAGAGCCCAGCCCTGGGTCTTATCAGTTAAGTGTATAGGATTATGAAGGCAGGAGAAAAGAGCCCACAGCAAGTGTATACAAAGTGGATGATGGATCCACACACACACACATACACATGCACGCACGCACGCACCCACGTTTTTTTTAAAGGAAGTCAAGTTACCTAACAGGCACTGCTTCGGTCCAAGAACTACCTGGGTGAACGACACGGATACTGGTATGGCTTCTTCAGCATCGCAGACCCTGCAGAAGTACCTAATGATGTCATCTCTTCTGGTGAAGGCTTTACCAGCATGATGCTATCACAGTGGGGGGGAGACACTTTGCCCTCAAGGTCCTATCAGCTGGTGTAATAATCTGAGACACACCAGTAAGAGAAAATGACCAAATTCAATGACCTACATATGTGTGGGAACCCCTGCATGCATGAGAGGCTCAGAGACAAAAAGGGGCAGATAAGATACATAAGACACTCTGAGCTTATCTATCTTATCTGATAAGACACAGTTCAGGTTAGGCGTACGGGGTTTTGGGAGGTACCTGCGTGTGTTCAGTAATTATGAGTTGGCCCTGCCGTGTAGACAGCGTAAAAGCACTTCTGGTGGTAACTCTTATCATGAGCCAGGTGACTAATTTAAATTCTTCTAGATGGCCGAGTGGGGGGTACTCGGAAGAAGGGGACAGAAGTTCCTACTGAGCCCACAGGGTGCCTTTAGCTCAAAATAATCTGTATCTCCTGAGGCCCACAGCCCTTAGGCTAGCTCGTTCTGAACCCCCGACTATACTGGATCATACAAAGTAGGACCCCAGATCTGAAAGACCTCCCCCCGCTTTCCTTGGCTCTTCCTTCGCCCCCCTGGTTCCCCTGTTCCTCCAGAACAGATTCAGCCCGAGTCACCTCGTCTCAGATGAGCAAAGTAAGGCCAAAGGGGGTTCGTAGTTCCCAGTGGGCTACTGCTGGCCCACCTGAGATGAGAAGCAGGCAGCCAGTGCCCACCCACCCGCCTCCATCCCGTCACACTCCCTGGCAGCAGCCCATCACCCGGGTGACCCTCAGGACCCCTGACTTCACACACACTTTCCTACTCACACCCCCGGGGGGCCGAACTCTTCTCTTCCAGAACTCAGGACAGCAAAGGATTCAAACTGTCCTCTTTGCTGTAAGCTGGCCTTCTGGTCCTTTTACCAAATGCAGTACTGGTGTTCCCTCCCAAAAATGACAAAGAGGGACAGTGATTTCATTTATGTTTCTCCACCTAAGGAGTTGAGTCTTGCGGGAGAGCTAAGTCTGCATGTATGGGGCAAAGAGCAGAAGCCCTTCGGAAAACTCGGAGGCAGACTCATGAACTGCCGATGGGCCTGAACCAGCTTACTTCCTCTGGCACTTAAACAGATGAGAGTTCTCTGAGCATCGAGTCAAATGGCTTATGTTTAGATGTTATTCCAAAAAGATAGTAATCATCGCACACACATTTCTTAACTCCAGATTCATATCTGTTTGGAAGCTACCTGGGACTGGAACAGATGGAGAGAAGGACAGGCTTCGGCCCCTGCAGCCCAGGGCAGGGACGGGCTGCACCGTCAGGTGCGCAGTGAGCATCAGACTTCCAGGAAACGAACGGTGGGCGTGCAGGACACGGGCCCTCCACTGTGCACACAGACAGACGTTCAACGGAAAGGCCTCGGTGTAATCACGTCCGTGTAGAGGGCAACTTGGGTGAGGAGCTTTCTAATCTGCTGTGGGCTGGCTAAAACCAGAACAGGGTCTGCCGTCTGAGGGGAGAGAAGGAAGCCTTCGAGTGCCAACGAGAGAAGCCAAAAGCAGTGAGAGGGCAAAAACTGCCCTCATACTCCGTCCAGTGGATTTCTGATCAGAGACACAAGGTGTCCCAGTTGGCCGGTGCCCATAAATACCAGTTGTCTCGTGTACCAGCCGAGAAGCAGCAGGACACACGGAAAGCGGAAGGGACTGCACTGAGACAAACTGTCACAGATGCCAGGGAGATCGGACCCACTTCTCCCAAGCCCTGAGCGCCTCCCTGTCACCCCTCCCCAGACACACTCCCCCCCCTCCTGTGGCCAACTTTTCCATCCTAAGGTGCTTTGGCGAGTCCCCCTCCCCTGCCTCACCCTTAAATGCCTGCTTTTCGGTCCTCTATGCACCGTATCCCAGCAGGCTGATATTCTCAAATGCATCCTCAGTTACTGTCTCTCTGTTTTTCCCTACACACACCCTCCTTGGACGGCCGTAGGTTCTAACCGTTCTCTCAATCCCAAAGTCACCGTATCTTTAGCTCTGACCCCTGAGCCTGGACCCATGTTTCTAACGGCCTCCTGGGCAACTCCACCTGGAAATCACACAGAAGGCTTTACCTGCAGAGCCAAGCTCAGTGGCTCCCACCTGCTCCACCGCACCTGCAGCCCCACTGCAGCTCCTGCCATCAGCAGACAGTTCTATGCTAGAAGCTCAGTGCGGATTCTGACCGTGTCTCTCCCCTCTAACCAAGCCCTAGTGACTCTTGCTCAGAAAGACTGCACCTCCCCGCCCTCCCACACTCCAGCCTCACCGGCCCATCTTCTCTCCCCAGGTCACTGCAAGAGCTTCTGGATGCGTGCCCGCCTTCCATCTGCCGGCCCCTCAGCCCTGCCCTGGCCTCGCAGAGTCAGCAGGCTCACACACCAGGGACACCCTTCGGCGGCTCTTCGTCACCTCTAGGTAAGGTCCTGCCCCTCAGCAGTGAGGACACCGGATCCTTACAACTTGGCCACTGCCATCTTTTCAGTCACGTCTCGCACCTGCCTGCCCTGGATCTCTAGGCCACACATCTCCAGTTACACTGCTTTTTGTTTCTGGCTCACGCTGTTCCCCGGACTGAGAACCCCCTTCCGGCTATGCGCAGGCGAACAGGCATGGACCTGGCCAGCTCTGTGAACCCACCTCCCTGCTCAGTTTCCACAGTGTTACCCTTGCCTGCGCTTCCCTGGCCCTTTTACACTCCCTTTATCTAGTCTGGCTTTCTGCTTTACTTTTGTGCCCTCTGGGCATGGCACATAATAGGTGCTCAACAAATGCTTGCTAAAGTGATATATGGATCAGAGAGGAGGAAGGAAGATCACAGAGATGTGTGGCAGAGAACGAAAACAGAATCAGAAGCCAGAAGAGGAAGAGGCAGAGAATACCAGACTCTCGAGAAGAGAGCCTGGGACCAAGACAGAATTGTCTGAGACGGGGAGCAAGCCAGGAAAACGTGAAAAGCTTCTGGTGCCTCAGTGGGCACAGCAGCGATTGGAGACGAGGGGCTTCTACTGTGTGTGGGTCTAAGTAACCGTCGAGGGAGACCCAGTCGGTACCTGAACCTGCACCCCAACGCAGTCACAGCCAGACAGTGACCCGGCATGTGCAGCAAGACGTGGGCCGTGCACAGGAAGCGCAGGGCGGGGAGCCGGGCAGCCCGCTAGTGTGTCGGCTGTGCTGAGAGAGATGCTGAGCCTTGACCATGACGACAGTTCTGTGATGGCCCACAGGAGAAAGCACGGGATGAGAAATCAGCAGAAGGGGCCCTGGCACCAGCTCTGCCACACCAGAGTCCTGTGACCCTGCTCTTGTCCTAGATCTCTGTTCCACAGACGGGAAACTGAGGCTCAGAGCAGTTTGTAACGCCTGGTACCTGCCTGTCTTCCCCATTGAATGGCTGAAGGACTGAGAGAGGATTTACGTGAAAGGCAGGAAAAGCACAAAGCGTGACACGTGTCCTCAATGACTGACTACTAGTTTCCTAAGATCCGCACAGTAACCACTTCTAGCTGGCGGCTACCTCATGCTCATCGATGCTACTTTTACAACCCCGTTTCCATGGATAGAAGGTAATCTGACACGCAACTTTCATAGACTGTATGACCTGCATAGCCACTTTTCTGCAAGTTTTACAGCACAAACCTCGGAAAGTGTTTCCACTATAAAATAAATAAAACAGTGCTGTCAGGATTCCACCTCCAGAAATGCACGAACTTCAGTTATAAACACTGATTTACACTTCACGATGAGTTTAAAAATAAGCCCTTAAAACTCGAATGATAACAACACACTCTGAGTGCACAACTCTCAAAACTATGAGACAGGGTCTGCGGTGATGTCCACTTTCTAGAGGAAGAAGCCAAGGCGCACGCAGGAAGCAAGTGGCAGAGCGGACTGCAAAGACCAAGCTGTCAACCCCTGACGTGTGTGCTGACACTCGATTATTGTGACTATCGCTATCTTGTGCTTCTGTAAACAGGCCACTGTGCTGTTTCGGGACACCCGGAACCTCCTCCACCCTGCCTCGTGTGTGCTCCCACAGTCCCAGGTTCATTAGCAGAAGTCACGCAGTTAGCCAGTCGGCTCCCTGCCAGCCCTGGAGGCACCAGGTATCTGCATCTTCCCGATGTCCAGCCTCCTCCAGTGGGTTCTGACTCTAAGCGTAGTGTTTGTGTACAAGTAACACCACACTAATGGGCTCAGGCAGGGTTTTGAGATACATTAAAGCAACACTAACAAAAGAACCAAGTTTCACCAGTGAAATACTTTAAAAGCTTCCTCCTCCCACTCTCCTGGAAAACTGGCCCTATTTAAGGGATCAGAGGCCCCCCTCTTTCTGGCAAGAGGCAGTTTATGAAGGTCTTACACACACTGCTTCGTAAAATCCTCACAATTCTGAGAGCTGCAGACAGCAGATAATGGTGTTTGCATTTTGCA